AAAAAAAATTGAATAAAAGAATCCAGGACATTAGGTTCACTCTTAGGTTCAAATCTGTTTGTGAAACCCTAAATTTATTATACTAAGACATTGCCACAAAAGATCTTATCACAGCTTGCAAATTTAGGAGACAATTAAGATCTACAACCTCTTTCAACATTACACCATGTGCAATACAAACATATAAAGAATTTAACAGAAAGGGAGCAACAAGATGTCAAGATTGTATATACATGTAGTCATTACTAACTACATAAAACAAGTTCAAACCTTTTGGTAGCAGCCATGATCTGATCAAACAAGAAATGCCCACAAAAAGATAAGATAAACCAATACAAATTCATAAGATTGGTAGGCAAAAGCATGTAAAACAATACAGAAAATGTAACATTGTTTGGGTGTTGTAGTTAAGTAGGGAGCTCCCTTCAGTCCAAGTATAAGAAGCATAAGATCCAATTAATCTCCCGGATCATTCATTCATTTACCAAGTAATTTGATCATCTTACTAACTTGGGTACATGGATGAATGAGTCGGCAGCAAATTGAATCTGACCACTACCTATGAGTGGACTGAAGAGAGCTCTCTTACACAACTCTATCTACAAACTAATACAAAACAGATCTAGTACTAGTAGTACAGTTAGTTGATAAGATAAAGATGCAAACATCCCACAATTAAAATTGTCTGTAAAATCTTAAGAGATCAAGAGAAGAGAAGGAGATGTGCACTGAACACAAAAGCTTCTTTTGAAAGGGATTGTAGTCATTTTCATTGGTGGTTGTTGTGTCTGTGAGAGAGAGAGAGATAGAGTTGACTGAGAAAAAGAAATTTGGGTGGAGAGTTCCAAAGGAAAGCAACTCATGGTAATGGTTTAAGAAAAATGGATGGCTTAAAAGGGTCTTATATAGGTAGAGCTTAGAACAAATGCTGAGTTCAGCAAAGTTAAATATGAGTAAGTTAAGTTATACAACAGAGAGAATATGAAACATTAATGTATGTATTCATCTTTATTTGCAGCTTATAAAGCAG